TATAGGTATTAACACCAGCTGTGAAAGAACAGACATTTCTCATGCACACACACACACACACACACACACACACACACACACACACACACAGACATGCAGAGTGAAAAACACACACGACACAGTGACACACTCACACCAGTGTGAATGGCATTACAAGAGCTGAGGAATCTGGCTGCTGGATGTTTCCTCTATTCCTCTGTCAACCATTCATCTCTCAATGGAGGGAGGAGGGGGGTGACGGGTGAGAGAAGTGAAGAAAGAGTCAGAGATGGGAAGAGAGAGAAAGAGAGAGTGAGACAGTTTCCTTACTCACTTGCTGGCAATCGTCCAAGAACATTCTGTGCTGGTTTGTTTTGGGGGAAATAGAGAATACGTTTTTATTCCTCATGATCCTGACCTTTCTGTCCATTTGCTAATTCTCTGTCTGTGGACTTTCACATCTCTGTACGCTCCTTGTGCAGATGAACCTGTTAAAATAATTACTGTCAGAGTCGCTGTATGAGCAGGAAACCTGTGGGATTTCTTAAAGCGAAACACTGCTCAGTTTTGTTTCTATAAAGAAACCAGAATCTATACTTGTGTTTAACTGCTTGGAAATATTTTAGCCAGATTAACTTCTTAAAATGATTATATGTCCATGATAATCCTTTTACATGGACATACATTTTCCAATATTAACCAACTTTCTGATGTAATTTTTTGATTAACTTAACCAGAACAAGGTCATACTCAGAATAAGTAGTAATTAAATGAAGACAAGTGGAATATTGTGACCTATTGTGACCATATTGTGGTCATATTATGTAGACATGTATACGTCTTAAATGCAGCAACATGTCCTATTGGAGTTTTTACAGCATTTTGCAGCGTATGTCGATGGCACAAACTACATGACCACACATGCCCTGGGTGTAAACAAGATGGAAGATTTTAAATATCGTAATTGAAAGAATGTCTTATTTTGAATAATGTCAATAGTTGGAATATTGTTGTCCATGTCAATGTAGTCACTGTTGTGTTTACAGCTTGGAAAAAGTAGTGACCAGACTTTCATTCAAGGTTCTTCTTGAGGTTGGAGGTTGTTGGTATGCTAATTATCTCAAAGAAGTGAATATTGTGTTTTCAGATGTACGTCACATGTCACGTGATGTTCTGAAACTCTTCCACAAAAAATTCAGTATGGTATCTGCTAATAAATATTCTTAAATAACTAAAATCAGTTTTCTATGTTGTAGAGTTCCCACATACTGCCATTAGGGGGCAGCAGGTTGTCTGTGTCACAAACAGCTTTAAACCCTTGACTAAATTGCATGACATGTTAATGGATATATTTAAAGTATATTTACCTGTCAGTCTAAACACAACCAGCTGTGCTCCGGGCTCCATCACACCGCTCTGCTCTACACACACACACACACACACACACACACACACAGGGCCAATCACACGAGTAATGCATATATACAGTGTGGACTCATGGATGTATTCGGCCTTGTTTAGGTTTAAGTAAACAAGGATAGTCAAGGTATGCAAACACACAAAACAAACTGTGAATCCCTCAGTGTGGAGAATCCGTGAGTTAAACAGGACTTACATGCAGTTACATATTTCATTATGTATAAACCTATCTGCCTTGCTAGTTCTTCCACTAGTCTTTACTTTCCTACAACTTCTCCTTCTTTCTAGAAAGATTTAATGCGTGTGAGTATGTCAATTTATTAACAGCCATTTCCTGCGTAGGTTATTCATGCAAGTACTGTACAAGATGCCGAAATGTCCACTCAGTCCAACAATCAATAAAGGCCTCTTTGTTAGAAATATATTGGAAGCAGTGGACCTCTCTATGGGCCTTGCTGGGCCATAAACACAACTTATTAACCTGTATGAATTGGCTTTATCCAGCACATCTGACAGTAAAAAATGGATTTTCAATGGTGCCATAGCTGGCGTATTTCAGTAACAGCTTCTATAAGTTATTGGTAAGGGTGTGTGGAAAAGCTACGATGACAGAGGACTATGAGCCACATAGAAGAAAGCTATAAACAGAGTGTGAGTTCCATGTGAATCGAAGAGTATTAGCGTGCGTTTCAGCACTGCCTGCAATTAGAAAAAGAACGAGAGGTCATGGGTTTGCTGTGACTGGATAAGACGTCAGCCAATGTCGACTGACACCTCATAAGTGTCTGTGCTGAAACATAATGTAAATGAAATTGTTTGACTGTAAGGCCAAAAATACATGGGACCAAAGCACAACAAAGTATCCAAGTATATATGAAAAGTTGTCTATACTGAATACTAAACTACAAACTACAAGTTGTGCTTTAACTTAACTGTATGAAGTACACAATGTACAATGTAATGGCTGTAAAATGATGAAACCATCAGCGTTTGGATTGGTTCCCTATGAACCTCACTTTCACTGTGCAGTTCTTTCACCTTCTTTGGGCTACAGTGCTGCCACTGCACAACCTAACTCGGGACAGTGACGTGAGCCCAGTCAGGGAACATGCAGCACGCTCTCATGCACATCCTGAAAGGCAGGCGCACACAGACAGACATTTATGTAAACATGTGATTCATGTTTTAATGCTGATGAAGAACCCAGGGCGATGTTTGATCAGTGGCCCAAAACACATCGAACCACTCATTTTTTATTTTTGGCCTTTTGGCAAACACTGCCTCTTTCTTTGTCCAACAGGGTTTGTTCACTGTTTGAATTGTCCTGGTTGATACAGACTGATATGTGGTCGATGCAGTAATAACATAGTAGATGTGTTGTTTGTTGCTGTTGTCTCTGTTGGTGAGTTGAGCTGCAGGACCTTGTCCCTAAAATAGATGGAGATTAAAGCAGAAACTGTCACAATGGCTTTCACTGCATTAATTACTTTTTTGAATGGATCACTTTGTCACAGTTTTGTATTTTCAGTGTTCCTCTCATGTTCCCTTCTGCCTTCCTCTGTGTTCATCCCTGTCTTGGTTATTGTATTTTGTTCTTGTTAATAAGTTCGTTCAGTGTTTCCTGTTTTATTTTGTAGTCCTTGCTCCCTGTGTGTTTTCATCTATTGACTTCCTGCCCTCATCAGTTTCACCTGTTTGTCTTGTGCCACCTGTCCCCAGTTACTAATTAGTTCCAGTCAGTATATAGTCTTTGTGTTTCCCCCATGTGGTGGTTGGTTCGTCGTCCTCATGGTTCTGTCTGTTCATGTGTCTCGTCAGCTCTCGTCACGTTACCCAGTAAGTTTGTATCCTGCCCTGTTCTGTGTTTCCACTCCTGTTTTTTGAGTGCGATTATTATTTCTTGAAGGTTTCTTGTGTTACGTTTACCCCCTGCTAAATAAAATACACTTTTTATTAAACTTTAATTAGTTTCTGCGTTTTGGTCCTCCTCATCTCACGTCCCCCACCCTAACCTTGACACACTTGAAGGCAGCAAAACTAACAATAGAAACAAAACCGATATTGTATCAGCCTAAAAAGCTGCTACTGTGTTTGCAAACAGTTACCTATTTACCCATTTGTATCCAGACATACATCCAGAGATTTTGGTCTCCACCAACTCTGGAATGAAATAGTCTCTTTAGCTGCTTAAAGTTTCCTTTTGTTTTACAAATAGTTGCTAACTTGTTCTTATATATTCTGTTTATTGCTGGTCAGGTAGTGTACCCCAGCTTTAGTCTGTTTATTTCCTCTTCTAACGAAATCTAGTCAATTTATAGTAATGACTGACAAAATGAATGTTAAGGATTTAAATCTTTCATAAATAAGACAATGTTCCTATTTGCTCCCACTTTATCAAATGTAATTGGTAATGTGGGACCACATGCTTTAGGTAATCTGGGGCAGTCATTTGAGTTCTCTATATGGGGGAAGAAAAAAAAAAAAAGATAAACTAAAGAGATGTAGCATATTTTCTTTTTTGGCACAGAGAACACAAAAAGCTGTGTCGTGTCCTCTGGGTATATCTCCAGTCTTTCTGCTGGTGTGGTTAGAAAACATCAGAAGGATTACAGAAAAGTATTATATGCGAATCCAATGTGTAAAACAGATGCCAGAATAATTTGCAGAAGTCAAACTTGCAAATAATTATTTCAAATTCACCCTACTGAAAACAGCTGCCTGCTGCATCTGCTGAATCTGAAACAGTTGTGCTGAAAAAATACAGAAATGCAGCACAGCCGAGGTTGATAATTCTCTATGGGTTCAACTCTATGAGTGACACCTTTCACAACACACTCGTTCATTGATCTGTTGCTACAAGTGTAAGCAAAGCTACCAAATGTGAATCAGACAACACCAGTGGAAAACACAGGTAACCTTTATGGGTTTTTTTCCCTTCAAACTTCACCAGCCTCGGGCGAGCTGCTGTTTCTCAGGTCGACAGCTCATCAAAATGAATGACAACTGCTTGCGTGGAAACTTGACGAGCCGACGGGGAGAAAAGTGGGACTGACTAACAATACATTTTCTGCCTCCAGGCAGAGAGATGCATATTGGGCCTTCAAGTTGTGTCTTGCAACATGAAGACCAGAGTCTGAAGCCGTGAGTCATTCAGGAAACTTCCAAAAGGTTTGTCGCAACAACTAATGAATATCACATCTTATCTACCAGACAAATGGAATGAAATGAAAATGAAACTTCAAAACTGTCTTTGTCTGGTAGAGACAACAACAGTTTAATCTAGAATGTGCTCCAGCATGTTGCTCAAATTTTTGATTTTACTTTCCTCTAAATCCAAGCCAAAAAATGCACTCAGAAGCACACACACAAGAGGTTGAGTGTGTGAAGCAACCACCTTTCTGTCTCTGAAAGCAGCCTGAGTGAGCAGCAGCTGAATTCTTGTTGATTTAGCCATTAAAGGCTGCAGCAGGTCTGAAATCAAGACCTGCATAACCGTTTGGGTTGGACTGAATGTTGTATTCGCTTGAGCTGTGTTAGACAATTGTTCTGCATCTCTTAATAGAGGATGAATGTGTTTTTCTCGTGCAGCACAGAAATGGTGGCAATGAGGAAACTCAGATGCCAGAGCAACTGAAAGTGACTCTCAACCACATCAGAGCTGGCTGGACTTTAGTGTGCTTGTGAACGTGTGTGTGCAGATGGGTGATTAATTGCTCTGGCTCTGATAGAACAATAAACAGAAGAGGAGTGTGATTGTTCCATCAAACCTGGCTGTCATGTCAGGCTCAAACATTTCAACATTCCTGCAGACTCTCAACATTTCACTCCTGACTCATGTTTGCTCTTCTTGAGTCCGATCTTTGAAAATTAAACACATCATCTCAACACACAGTTTCGACATCTTTATGTTTTTTTCCCCAACATTTTACATTCTTGCTAGCTTTTCCTCAAAATTACAAATTTAAGATGTATTTACTCTATTGTTTACTGCTGCATGTCACAGAAATGTGCACAACATTTCTGGCAAAACAACAAGAACATTCCAAAATACTCTAAGTTACATCCCCTACTTGGTGCATGAACCCACACGTTTTTCATTTTCATTTTTTTTCTTTTTCTTTCGTAGCTGACGTAAAGACATTTTGATAGGTAGTTGAAATGACGTTTAAAGTTCTCCCAGATGGACTTTTGATGGGTCGCCCTAAAAGACGTCCTTGTTTTGTGGTATCAAAGTGGAGTCGAGCCTGATTAGAGTTGAGAGCGACATTCGAGATCAAAAGGAAAGTGGCTCAAGTGGAAAGCTGCTGTCTCTTAGTTTCAGGTGTCTTTGACTTTGGTCCCCAACATGTCTTAGTTTGGTCCTTGGACATTCGGTGATCTGCAGGCAATAATAAGGCATGTTTCAGAAAATGTTTCCTGAGACTCTTACTCACTGTCCGTGTGTTTTGTTCTCTTTATAATAACTCCCCTCCAACAAAAACACACATTTACACAAATAGGCCATCCTCACTCACTGCAGCACAGCAGTGATGTGATTAATGCTGCAAGTACAGATATTGTTTTTACATTCACAAATATAGCTGTTTTCTTCTGCTGCTGATAGAACATCTGCTGGCCCCATTACTCAGAAATAGTTTAATAGTCCAGCTATGGCTCTGGGACCTGGGAATACTGAGGAGATGACTAATATACAAACGCACACACACACACACACACACACAAGCATGTCCAGACAAATATGTTTTATCTGTCAGTTCAGCCAGATATGACGTTCCTGGATGAACGGGCTCCTCCCAGAACGTGCACGTACAGACATGCACATGATAAACCGAACACATTCTCATAATGTAGCTAGAAAAACCATCCATCACATCCCCTCAGCTGTTTAGCCTCCAGCTCACATGTAGCCACATCAGACTGATGAGGGAAGAGCAGGACTAAAACATCTGAAACATTAGGCTACATCAATACCACTATGTCTTTGGTTTCAAAATGACTTTCCAAGCTTTGGCTCCATATCTCGTGATCAATAATCTATGTTGTTTTCTACACTGGTAGCAGAGGCTAATACCAGTTGTTTTCTTCCAGAAGAGGATCATGTGATAGGAGACTGAGAGATCAGTGAAGATTACGTTGTGACCGAATGTCAGCAAGCGGTTGCCTACGACATTGTTTCCAAGTTTGGACATCAGGCGTGTCCGTACCACAGTTGATGTGTTTTCAAAGGGAAACATAGTATGGATAGAGCCTCAGAGCTACAGTTTACCTTGAAGCAAATTCATGTCCTGTCCTGCCTTCTTCTCAGCAGGGATACAACCCATCAAACACTCCTGTTCTTGGCTGACCCAAATGCTTTTCAGTTCAAATCCCATGCATGTGTGACTTTGGGGCCAAAACAAAACCCTCTGAGGTTTGGTGCACATCCCTTGCCAGGAATATGGACGTTCATCTTTTAGTGTCATGATATTCATTCTCCATTTAAATGTGTGGATTTTCACCATTTTCACCATGTTTGTCTCACAAGCTGCTTAATGCTCCACTATGTTGATCAGCTATAGCTCATGTCGAACTCTCTCTCTTTAGATATGTGTTGCTGAAAAGCGTTTCTTGCTGTGGCTGGAACAGGGTTAACAATAGTTGCTGTATTTGCAAAGCTAATCTGAATCTGAAGTACAAGTTAGGAGGGAACTGCACAGGCATAAACATTTTCTACAACTGGTATTTATACTTTACCTTGAATCTTTAGATCTTTAGAGTCTAATTTGTATTCATTTTCATGTTTCCTTACTTATGGCATTTCTGTGGTAGACTAACCTTAAACAAACCTGATTTAACCCCAACTACAACACAGTCGGGACAGTGATATCACAATAGTTTGTTTTTCTGCTGATCCATAGAGTAATTAAATGTTATTTTACCAGCCTCTGTTATCATTCCACAAGCAAGGCAGTTTAGTTCCAGTTCAAACAACTGCCGCCATTCTGGTCACTTTATCTGAGACATAATATTTTCTCTCTGAATTAGCATTAGAGAATATGGACCAAGGTGGAGAGCTTTAATGTGACAGGATAACAAATCATTGGTAGGCAGACATGCCGGAACACACACACAGGCGGACAATACTGTACACACACTTGCACTCTAAGCACACACTCGATGCGTCAGCTGGGTAGTTATTGTGTAGAGCAGTGTAAACAGGAAGCATGTCGCGGGACCTCGCGGTTCGTCATCAGACCTCCCAGAGCTTTGGTACAAAGGAGAACAATACGAGCGAGATGCTAAAAATACACACACACACACATGCAGACACACACATGTTTCAGCATAACTCCACATATCAGCCATGAGTGTGAGTGTTTGTACATGTCTGTGCATGCGTTTGTGTCCGTTCTTTTATATGTTTTGCTTTGAGTCTGTGTGTGTGAGTGTGTGGTTAGCTCTGGACAAACAAACTTGTGGGCTGTTCTGGAGAATGGTGCAATTTCCTGGTACACACGGCAAGATAAATCCCCTGGAAAAGTTAAAATAAGGAGGGGGGGTTTCTTTTTCATCGTCTCACTGCTTTCACAGGAAATGGCAGCGTCTGGATTTCAATAGGATCACTCTCACTTGCAGTATTACACAGAGTTATGACAGCACCGTTTAATCACCTACCTACCAAACAGAAAGAAATATACAAACACACATAAACAGAAGATAACATATTAGCACACACAGAAAGTTTCTAATATGTTTCTTTGGTTGAGTAACTCATACACTTGTTAACTGCTGGCTTTAAAGGCCAAAACTGAATATTATTGAACTCTGACCCCAAATACACTGACTTCTTCAATTCCAAGTAATACCACATATCACTTGAGGAAGGGCACACTAGATTTTAATTCATGTTGTGATCGACCAGCATCCCGTGCTGCTCCTGGTTTTGTACAATACCTCAGGCAAAATATCCATTATTGCACATTTGATGTAAAAAAAACCATCTGTCATCAGTGAAGCATCTAAGATAACAATGTTCCAGCCAGCAAAATTTTTAGATTAAGAAAGCTATTACATCTTGTAATTGTTCATGTAAACTGACAAAGTACATGAATTCTCATGAGCAAGTGCCAATGTGAATCACCACTCACATTTAGTTGCTCAACCCCAGGAGATCAGGACTTAAAGGTTCAGTGTTTAGGTGAAAGGAATCTTTGGTAGAAACTGAATATAAAATAGTCCTAGTGATGTTTTCACTGGTGTGTTTCATCTAAATTGTATGAATTGTTGTTTTCTTAACCATAGAATGGGTCCTTTATATCAAAATACTCTATATTTACATGGAGGGTGGTCCTCTCTGTGGAGGCCGCCATGTTTTTTACTGTCCTCCAAACTGGACAAACTAAAACCTTTTGAGTTTTCATGAGAACTGAAGTTCACCACAGCTTCTGTTACATGTTTGGAAGGGGAGGGTGAGATGAGGAGTATTCAGCTGCACTTCTTGACACCTCTAGATGTCACTAAATTCTACACATTGAACCTTTAAGTCATGTTAGCTGATCCGAGAGCAGTGAGAGAAGTCAAGATGTGGACGCACGAGAGTGGCGTGCTACAGACCAACTCTTAGTTGAAACTGTGATGGACAATCCTCATACCCTGAAGGGTTTGGTTTTTCTCTCTGCATGTGTCTATTTGCAAAAACTAAATTAACTACACAACAGCACAGTTGTTTGCATGAGAAGATCAGACAGAGCAGAGCTGGCCCAGTCACAGAGGAGTGGATGAAACTGTAGAGAATGAGCAGAAAGCTGATCGGGTTCAGTTTTAGCCACGTATCAGAAATTTCAGTTCTGTCACATTTGTAAACACATCACCAAACCATGCACACTGGCCGTGTGACATAAACAGGAAGAAGATTTTCTCCTCTGCAGTTCGTTGCAGAAAGTACTACAAACGAGAAACAGCGAGGGTGAAAAATAAGAGCAGGAATTTCATTTCTTGGACTGTCCATGACGTAGAACTGTAAGTCACAGTAAGTGTTAGGAATGTTTTGGCTTCACCACTGGAAACCGTGTCATAACTGATGAGAACCAATCAAGAGGTGAGTGCAGGCGACTGCATCATTGTTTCCAAACGTCTCAGCTTTTACCCAGCAGCCCGTTGTGTTCAAACCAAAACGGGGGATAGCAGCATTTCCAAACTTCTCTGTTCTAGACGTATAACATCATAGATATAGAGTAGTGTGGAAGGCAGGTGTAACCATAGCAACAATGATGCACTATATTGTAATGATGGATGTAGCCTTGTTTTCAGGCCCAACTATTTTGCATTAAAGTCACAGGTTCCATTCCCAAAAGTGTGCACTCTGCTCACTCATTAAAGCAGGCAGCGAAGTCAAACTGGTGAATTACACAGCTGGGTTCTCAGGTGGAAGCAGACAGTTCTCTCTCAGAGACATGTGACACAGTTACAGGTTGAACCTGCCTGCACATGCACATACAGCTCATACTGATGAGTGGCAAAGAACAATGTTATCATTCAACCATCTGAAAGGACTCTCACACACACACACACACACACACACACACACACACACACACACACACAGGATGAAAGCAGTGCATTTCATACATTTCTTTGGCTGCACTTGATCTCCCTTACATTAATAGTGTTTCCTATATTTAGTTTGGAGTTGAGCCAAATGTTCTCACAGCCTGCATGTCTGACTAACTTTTTTCTGGTGAAGATTTGAGCCATGGATCAGCCACATATGTTCACATACACACACTCACACATGCACACAAGTTATTAATGTCCGACCCCCACTAAAACACTTAAACCTTTACAGATTACTCTGGGGGTAAAGCCCTCTGATGATATTCATTTGAAGTGCGGAGAGCTTGTTTCAGTACAGCACATTTAAAATATTTTTAAAGCTAAATTGACCACGAACGTGACTTAAGATTTTTCTGTCTATCTGCGCTCAACTGTGTTTTTCCACACTGAAACAAAGAGGGCTTGTGTGTCTGCAAAGTCTGGGGCTTATGATTAACTCTTTGATTACTGAGCCTGTATTAGGGAGAGATGGAGGGGTGAGAATGAGAGAAGGATGGAGGCAGAGGTGGAGAAAGGGAGAGGGGAAGAGGTGAGGTGGGGAGGTTGGTTAGAAGGTGAGAAGAAAAACAGCTCTTCTTTGCTGTGTGAGAAACATGCGTGTGTGGTATAATGCCAGAGTCACACAACTTGAAGAGTAACCTGACGCTGTTTCTGTTGTTATCTTTGTCTTCCATCTAGTTTCAACAAGTCTGTGTATCTGATTTGTTCTGATCCTTTGCAAGTGTACATGCCACCGCACAGTGGTTGTAAATGTATATGTTACAGACAACATTCGATATACAAAGCATGTAGACATAGGCTCAATCCTTGCTAATTTTAGCTATGAGTAGAATCTGGTATCGCTTCCCTGATCTGTCTGAACATGGAATTTAGAAAGTAAGTTGCGTTCAGTGCAGACTGGTGCCTCACTTTGGGTTTAGTACAACAGGTAAAGAGAAGATTCTGAACTAAAGCAGTGCTACCTGCATTAATGGCAGTAATTTGGATGAGTCAGAAAATCCAACAAAACTGATAATAAACTATGTTAAATCATCAGTCTCTAGTTCATCTATTAACATGTTTTTTGGAAAGAGCAGTTCTCACTCTCAACATTGGGTGTGGCACAGAACACAGTCAAATGCACCTTGGCCTGAGCACCAGGGGCGTACAAAGCACACTTAAGTATTTTTGTGGCCAAGCTCACCTGTGGCACACTTGGAAATGAGTGGGATCACAAGAAATACATTAACATACGGTTTTGCACCATGCACCAAAATAAAATAGTGCCTTCTATCAAAGGGCTAATGGACTGTCACTGTCACTAGTATTTTGATGAATTCACAGAACATTATGGCCTGACTCTGCAGTTGTTCTCAGCATTTTAGCGTCTTTCAACTAATTGTCTTGGTTTTGCAGCCAACAACTTTACTCCTTTGAGTCTTGTTAACCTTTTCAGGCACAGTAGGAAAATGTTTTCAAAGAACAAAATTCTGATAATCCAACAGTGCAAGCAACCTGATAACTGGCTCGTGAACAAAGTAGAGCATTTAACAACTGAAAGGTTTTCCTTGAGTTGGTGGAGACCCATACAGAGATAAAAGGAAAGTTAACATTGGTTCATTATTCATACACATGAACAGAAACACTCTGGGACAATGTTTCCTTGTGTTTTTGCGAGCATGTGGTGATTTTGTGTTACTGCTGCTGAGTTTTAATTTTCATGGGGCCTAATTCAAAATTAAGTTGTTTGACTTAAATCTTACTTTATTATCCAGAGTTACCAGCATGTTCTAAATGCCTTTCTGCATTTTACTTAAGTGGGACATTTTCTTTCATCTTTAGATGAACCAACCCTTTCAGTTTTATGTGCATGAAACACATAGAACTGACAGAAAAACAGCAAAAGGAAACAGGTTAGTTCCACTTCTCAGGCTTCAACTCCAGAAGGAAGGAAGGAGGAGTTCTGCAGTCTCAAGGCCGTCTTATGATTTATGAGATTCATGAGTTCATAATGTTGCTCTAGGACGGCGGTATTAGAGTAGCCAGAGCAGGAGTGATGTATGCTATGAGATGGATTCCACTCTCATAAATGTAAAGATTTACATGATTCTTTTCTTGGCTCTGCCTTTGAACTGCAGCTTGTGCAATAAACTCTGAATTCCAGCACAATTTCCTGTGATTGGAAGATGAGATCAGAGTTAAACACACACACACACACATACGCACACAAGCCCACAGTTTATCTCATACATATGTGTATGGATGCACACCCACATCCAACCAGCCATACTTGTTATACTGACTGATTGCATGTGCTACAGGGCCCCAGGGAAAACAGATAAGGTTTGAGTATGGAGACGACTACGAAGAGAACTCAGATCCAACCTGACACACTTGCAGACATAAAAGTCGTGAGGCTGCATATAGGAGTGTAAAGTATGGACAGAGATGCATAGTGATAAATGGGATTCCAAACAGGCTATGACTGACTTTATATTTGGATAGAATACAAATATTATCTTCAATGTTGGTTTCACTGTAGACTGTTT